TAGTGGGTGTTGGTTTGCTTCATGTATGGCTCAGAGGGGTTTGAAGTGGGTAGTGATGCAGCTGCAGTGCAGCTTCTGGTCCATGGTCGTTTCTCATTTTCTGAATGGGTGGGAGTCTGTTTTCTACATGGAAGTGTGGTGGTGACATCTTGTGTGGCTCTCATGGGTGTGGGTCCAGTGTCCTTCTTCATGTTAGGTACTCGTCTGTTCATGAGGGCGGGTTTCCAAATGGTTGGAAGGCGGGAGGTGTCATCTCGTTTGTTCATGCTGTGTGGGCGTTTTTCTATCTCTATGGCTTCTCTGATTATTCTGCCTAGATACTTCAAATCTTACGCGGGAGAAAACCCGAACAACCAAAGATCTACATATAAATACCCGCGAGAACCTCAGAAAACAAATATATATATATATATATATATATATACACACACACATAAGCCTGATGATGGCAGATGAGATTCTGCTGAAATGTCGCTACAACTTTAAAAGCACAACTACAATGACGTGGGAAAATACCCGAACAAAGCTGAATGCCATATATATAGTATATGATATATATAAAGTATCCTATATATATATGGATCTTTGGTTATTCGGGTTTTCTCCCGCGTAGAGAAAACCTATCAATGTTCGTGGGAGTGTTCTGGGTCCTATCTCCACATAGGACCCTTCCTCTGATCCCCAGGGCCTCCTCTGTACATACATCCCATCATCTGATCCTTCACTATTGCATCTCACCATGGAATTAAGTGGTTTGGCACACTTAAGATATGTTACATCATCTTAAGTAGGTCCATTGTTTGAGCCTTTTCTTGGGCTCCAGATCTGTTTGCATTGGAAATTGAACCAGAAATTCAATATTATTGAAGGGTTTGGAACATAAACAGAGTGCCTATACAGTGTGTGTCTAGCCCAATCTTTGATTTCCTTGCTGAACTGAACTGAACTCCATTGTAACCTGTGTTGACCTGGGAGATGAGCCAACTGCAGAGATTAAAAACTTCTAGGTGAACTGCCAACCTTAGCCTAGCAAAGGAACCACTTGAGAAATGCAAAAGGTATCTGTCTGCTTGCTGTAACTAAGTTGGAATGTGTTCTTTCCAGTAACTTAATAGGTGAGAAACGAAGCTTTGGGCTAAAATGTATTTCTTCCCAATCCATCTAAGTAAGGTTCCTTTGTTTGTCGAAGTGCTGAGAAAATTCCAAGAGCTTTGCTTGATATGAAATAACGTTTCCATAGCAATGACACTCTTTGCTAGCTGTGTAATCTATAAAAGTTCAAGAAAAAGTTTTTGCGCGCGCCTGCTTTTCTCTCTCTGCCTTGCGAGATTGAAAGGTTGCCCAGTTTTTGCTTTCTGATCACAAAATATAGCTGATTATCAGTAGCCTCCTTCTCAGAGTTTCACTGGACTTATTAGATTCTGAGCTGCACTCGAAAAACCTTACATTATAAAATGGTGCTCGTAAATCTGAATTGCCCAAGTCTTATTATTGACTTATTGAAACCTTACTCTTTAAGCACAGCTTTGTTGACAGAATAGAATAGAATTCTTTATTGGCCAAGTGTGATTGAACACACAAGGAATTTGTCTCCAGTGCAGAAGCTCTCAGTGTACATACGAGCAATGAAGCAATACATCATAACCATAAAATACAAATATCATAAATCATAGATACAACATTCAGTGGTAGTCACAGGATGCTAAATAATCAATATAAATCATAATAGGTTATGAAATAAAAGCTAAGTAAATCATTAGATACAAGGAGATATGCCCACTTCCAGCAACTGTTCTTTATATGTTTTAGCCTCCAGTCCCCTAATCATCTTTGTTGCTCTTCTCTGCACCCTTTCTAGAGTCTCAACATCTTTTTCAAATCTCAGGATGCAGGGGTGGGATTCAATTTTTTTTACTACCAGTTCTGTGGGCGTGGCAGGGGAAGGATACTACAAAATCGCCATTCCCTCCCCACCCCACTAATCTGCTTTCCAGCTCCGTTCTCCTGGGCAGGGCAACCAAAGAAGACCCAGCCGATCAGCTGGGTGGGAGGCAGAGAAGAGATGGGTGCAGGGCCAGTCAGAGGTGGGATTTGCCAGTTCTCCAAACGACTCAAAATTTCCGTTACCAGTTCTCCAGAACCAGAGGTGGGTTTCTACCGTTTCTGTCCACCTCTATAGAACCGGTAGCTCTGAAGAGCAGCATAGAACCAGCTCTATGTCTGCTGATGTTTTTGCCCACCTGCCCACCCGGGCTCTTACCTGATCTTTATTTCCTGATTTTTCAACTTCAGCTGCCAAATGAGCCACAGCTGCAGTTAAAAAAACAAGAAAAGAGGGTTGTTTCAAAGGCTGCTTCTTGGCAGCAGAGCAGCGTGCTAATGACGATTGACAGGTGCCTGGTTCAGAGCAGGCAGGGAAGCTCATAAATCCCGAACCGGTTGTTAACCCTGTCATATCCCACCTTTGTCCAGAACTGCTCAGAACCTGCTGAATACCACCTCTGTCAAGATGGGCTTGGGAATTATGGGAGTTGAAGTCTCTTCCTTTTGAAGTGGCCAGGATGAGAAACCCTTCCCTACACATTTCAATATCTATGGAGATTCTCAGTCATCCAGGTCCTTGGTTGTCCCAAAGATGTTTTTCCAAAAGGTAACTGGACTTTCTTGGTTTTTTTCTCTAAAAACGTTTCGCTTCTCATCCAAGAAACTTCTTCAGTTCTAACCGAGGAACATAACAACAACAATAACAACAACATCTGCCGATACATCACACAGTCCTAAACACTTGGGAAGTGTTCGACTAGTGATTTGTGATACAAAACCCAGCATGGTTATCTCGTTTGCTGTGTATACTGTCATTTTTGTGTATAATAATAATAATAATAACAATAACAATAACAATTATAATAATAAGTCAATGGTATTTGTGATGCATTTTTGAATGTTCAATTGACTGAGCTTCATGTTTAACGAATAAAGTATATAATAATAACAATAACTTGGAGGAGAAGCGAAATGTTTTCAAAGAATCAAAAAACAAACACCCCAAAGTCCGGTTGCCTTTTGGAAAAGCATCGTTGGAAGGAACTGACACGTTCGAACAAATTCTAGTTTTTCCCCCACCACCACTCAAGCCTTGTAGTTCCCCCCGCTGGCCACAAGAGGGCGAACCCAACCGTCCATGCTTTCCTTCGCTGGGGAAAGACGCGGGTTTCTTCCTCCCCCCCCCCTCCGAGCCTCACGTGACCTCCGATCATGTGACCCGCCTTTCCGTTTAATATGGCGGCCCCCTTGAACTGTATGTCACACGTCCCAGGCGCGGGGCTTGGAGGTCTTGCCCTCGCCGCGGTTTTGGGGGGGCTGCTTCACTGCTTTGGGGGAGTTCTTGGCAGCGCGGGAGGCTGGTAAGGAGGCCGAGCCAAGGGGAGGGGAAAGGAGCGGGGTGTGGGGCTACCTAGCAGGGCTGGCGGGGGTTGCTCCTCTTCCGCCTTACGCGGTGAGCGTTTTAAACGGCGGCTTTTCGTGCTGAAAAAAAAATAAGGCGATCTAAGCCCTGTGCTGCGTTCCTAAAAATTATACTTTATAAAATCTTTGGGGGGGGGGAGTCAGTCTTTTGCCCCGCAGAAAAATGCTTGAGCTACGTTCTTATTTTAAAACTGCTTTTCCTGGGCATGGTGTGTGGGTGTTGCTGTAATGTATGTTGTAATAATAACACTATGGTCCACATGGGGTATATAAGAAGTGGCTCTGTGATTGTAAAGTTTGACAACCCTAAAGAAAAGAAGAATCAGGGGCAACATGGTAGCAGTATTCCAGGATTTGAGGGGCTGCCACAAAGAAAGGGTGGTGGTGGTGGTGTTCCATTTATTCTCCAAAGCATCAGAAGGCTAAGACAAGAAGCAATGTAAGGAAACTAACCAAGGAGAGAAGCAACCTGGAAGTAAGCATAAACTTCCAAACAGTGAGGACAATTAACCAGTGGAACAGACTGCCACCAGAAATTCTGGTGCCACTTCTTCCGGCACGTGAGAAGTTGCCCGGAAGACCTCCCACTGCACATGCATGTCTGCCCCCCCCCCCCCGCCAGCCACCTGATTGTCAGGTATCTGCCATGCAGGTGCAAACGGAGATGCGTGCGTGGGAGATGTGTGTCCATGCACAGAGGCCTCTGGCCTGTGCGGGGAGGGATTGCGTGCGCATGCACACAAGCGTGCAGTGCAGGGGGGGCATTTGTGCAGGGGGTGATGGGAGTCACGCACATTGCATCTTGGGTGCAGACACACGGGCACCCACACGCATTTTGGGTGCGCAAAGGGGAAAAGTTTGCCATCACAGGTATAGGTTCTCCTGCTTGAATAGGGGGGTTGGACTAGAAGACCTCCAGGATCTATTCCAGCTCAGTCTAGTCTCTAGTCTAGTCATATCAGAGGTGGTATTCAGCAGGTTCTGACCCCTTCTGGAGAACCAGTAGCGGAAATTTTGAGTAGTTTGGAGAACCGACAAATCCCACCTCTAACTCGAGATTTTACAGTATCCTTCCCCTGCCACGCCCACCAAGCCACGGCTATAGAACCGGTAGTAAAAAAAATTGAATCCCAACTACTGAGTCATATATTCATATATTCTATTTATTGTTCGTTTTATAGCACACCTTTATTTGGTGATTATTCTGTGACAATATATATAATTCTCCGATAGCCTATCTTCTCCTTGTGTGTTGGGTTGGGTGGGGCTGGGAGAAGGACTGGCCCAAAGTCCCTCAGCTGGTTTTCATACCTAAGGGAGGACTTGCTGTTTCTTGGAGTCTAATCCAGAACTTTAATTACTGCACAAAACTGGCTTTCTATAACAGTGGCGAATAGAATAGCCCTGTTAAAAAGATGGGTTTTTGGTCCGGAGGGGGAAAAAGAAAGACACATCAAAACCTGTCTATTATCCTTTTCTTGCTACGGGTAGTCCTTGACTTATAGCCTTTTGTTTACCGATTGTTTGAAATGACAATGTCACTGGAAAAAAGGTGATTTATAATTAGTCCTCATACTTATGACCACTGCAGCATCCCCATGGTCATGTGATCAAAATGAGGACACTTGACAACTGGCATGTATTTATGATGGTTGCAGTGTCCCAGGGTCATGTGATTACCATTTGCAACAAGCAAAGTCAATGGGGAAGCCAGATTCACTTAACCAGATTAGTAACTTAATGTTGTGGTTAGCCAGCAGCAGGTGCAGACGGCTGAGGAGAGCAAGGACTCAGATGAGGGGCCAGGACCATTAGGGAGTGGACTGCTGCCTTCAGAGATTGTGGGGGCTGGCAGCAGTGATGAGGTCCCGGAGGAGCCTGTGCCAAGTGCGCCTGTGCACAGGGCTGCTCACAGGGAAGAGCAGCTGCAGCAGCATGGGTGACTCAGGAGTAAGGCTGCAAGGTAATGGCCCCTCCCTTAAGAGATAAAAGCTAGCTGTGAATCAGACGTTCTTTGCAGGAAGCAAAGACGTTTTGAAACTCAGCCTCGTGGACATTACAGTGTCTTAAGTTGGTATTTGGAGACTCTTGTGAAATATTTCTTATCTGCTATTCTTGGCAGCCTCACACAGTTTTGGCAAGGCTCGTGCTTATCAAAGTTAATTAGTTTGCAGCAGCCTTTTAACCGAGGATTCGTAAGAATCGTTAAAAGGTTTCTGTTCCCTTTGGTTTGTGTTTGTTTTACTGGAAAAGGGTTTGGCCCAGAACACTTAACAACTATTACTGACTTAGCAACTACAATGATTCTCTTGTGGCAGGAAAAGTGGGGCAAGGCTCACTTAACAACTGTCTTACTTAGCAACAGAACTTTTGGGCTCAATTGTGGCTATAGGTCTACGGCTACCTGTGTTGGCATGGAGACAACATCCGATAAACCCCAAAGTGCTTTTTTTTTGTTTTCAAGAGGCAACTGGACTTCCTTGTTTTTCTTGGAAGACGTTTCGCTTCTCATCCAAGAAGCTTCTTCAGCCGATCATGACATCATGCGAAATGTCTTCGAAAAAAAGTCCAGTTGCCTCTTGAAAAAGCACCTTTGGGACAACCGTGACCTCGATGGCTGAGAATCTCCCTAGACAACTTCAAATAAAGTCATCCACTTATTTTCTTCTGAATCCGCCCTGTTGCCTTTCAACTTTCAGGAATTCTTTGAACGATGACGTCTTGCTGCCTTATCTTCCTCCGCACCATGGCCCACAGCACCACCATCGCTACGTCCGAGACTGCCAGGCTCTCTTGCATGGCAACGCGACTCATGAAACCTGGCCTAGTGACAACAGCACTGCCTCCCCTCTGGCGGTTACGTACACATTCGTTTCGGACTTCCCACCGCACCATCCAAATCGCCGCCAGGTGTACGGCCACTTGACGATGGTGCGAGACCCTCTGAGGACTTTTTCTGTCCTAGAGCCCGGGGGGCCCGGCGGCTGCCATTTCCACCGCAGAGCTACCGTGGAAGAGACCGTGAGCCGAAGCCAGTGCCTTTTGGCCCAGAATGGGGGCTATTTTGATACAAAGACTGGGGCGTGTTTAGGGAACGTTGTCAGCAATGGGCGGCTGGTACAGTCCTCTGGGGGAGTGCAGAATGCTCAGTTTGGTATCCGGAAAGATGGCACTCTAGTCTTTGGGTAAGTCTTGGCATTCTCTCTCTCTCTCTCTCTCTCTCTCCCTCCCTCAATTTCTCTCTCTCTCTCTTTTACTATTGCAACTACTTGTTTAATGACTACAATTGAGACAGGCATCTGGATTCTTAAGTGAAGCAATTATTAAATGAAACTGTGACTCTGCTTCTGATATTTTTTTTTTTACTTTTTCATCCTTGACTTACAACTTGTCTTTTTATGACTGTTTGGCGTTTCAGTGGCATTGGGATGGGTGCTTTATGATCCATCTTTTATGAAGAATTTTGGCCTTCATAAAATATCGCCCCCCACAACCCCCCAAATTACCCGGCTGCATTTCAGACACTTAACAAGTGGCTCACTTTTATAATCACTCGCAGCATCCTGCAATCACATCACCACAATATGCAATGACTTCTGGCATTTGTTTTTTGCTGGGGGGTGAGGTGGGGGCGCTCGTTTCTGGAAGAATGGGTTTGCTTTGCTTAGTGACCATGTGATTTACTTAACAACTGCAGTGATTAGATTTCCGCTGTCAAAAATGGCCTCGTCGTGTGAGTGCCTCAACTCACAGCTGGATTTCTACTTCTAATTGTGGTCCTAAACAGTAAATTGGTAACTGGTAATAATCGCAAGTGAAGCCGTCACTGAAACAAGGATGACCAGTAACCGTTTTGGCTTCCCTGCAATTTTCTTAGTCTGGGTTTTTTGTTTTTTGTTTTTGGCTTGTCTCTTCCAGCTACCTCTCAGAGGAGGAGGTCTTGGCTACCGAGAACCCATTTGTGCAGCTTGTCAGCGGAGTGGGCTGGCTTCTGCGGGATGGAGAGGTCTACATGAATCAGAGCCGGGTGGCAGAATGCGACAAGACTCAGGAAACAGGTACCAAACTGAAGGTGCAAGCCCCGCCCCCACCCCCTTGAAGGTTCAGGAGAATGGTTCTAATGGACCAGCACCAGTCTATGGCATGCTGGACACCGGTCCACGCAAGCAAGCAAAGCCCTATCCCATGGGATTCAGGCAGCAGATGAAACCATGCCCCCTCTGGTCTGTGGTAAAACCTCTTTCCATGGAACTAGTCCCTGGTACCCAAAAGTTTTAGAGCCGCTGCTCTAAGCCATGGGTGTCCAGCCTTTAGACTCGCCAGAGCTGGGATTGAGTGGAGAGGAATTGTCTTGGGTTGCATGTAAAATGTATAAAAATGACATAACGATGATGATAATGATGTTATCCATTGAGTCGCGTCCAACTTTTGGCAATTCTACGGGCCAGATGTCTCCACGTCTTCCCAATCTTGCACTGCTTCTTTGAGTTGTTCTGTGCTCTGGCTGGGGAACAAATTTCACACCTCCCAGGTGAGGCTGGCCACCCTGGGTGGATGTTGAGGAGGTCCTGTGCGGGGGAATCGCCCAACTTGGCAGCTCTTTAAGGCTTGTGGACTCCCAACTCCAAGAGGTTTTGCTGATTGGGGAATTCTGGGAATTGAAATGCACAAATCTTTTTAACGGTTGCTAAATTTGGAAGCTCTGGGTTCTTATTGGTAGGTTGAAAAAATGCCTGGTGGAGTGGACTTTGGCCAGTCTTAGAACCATCCTTTGTCCAAAGGCAATTCATGAGGTTGCTTTTCCTACCCAATTTCCTGCAAGGTGGGTTTTTTTTTTCCCAACTGCTTTAATATAGCCTCCTTCATTCATTCATTTGAGAAGGGGCCTTCTTTTCGATATATTAGGATACAATAATAACCGGCAGCTAATTTTATTTCCCAAGAATAATTATAGCCCGTTGGAGCATGATTGTAAGTCTTGAGCATCAGTTTTCCATTGGGAAAAAAAAAAGAATTCGGATGATTAGAGACCTTGTTGTATGGCAAGGAAGATGGTAGTGGGCAGCCCCCCCCCCCCAATAAAATCAACCCCAGGCTTACCAGGGCTCCCCCTAGGGTTACCCCAACCCCCCCAGGTTTGTCTGCCTACCAAACATGAGGAACGGAAGGAAGGTATACAGATAGTCCTTAACATAGAACCACTTGTTTAGCGACCCCTTGAATTGCACTGAACAAACATTGCTTGCAGTCAGAACTTGCAAGCATGACCATTGCAGCATGGGTGTGTGTGTGTGTGTGTGTGTGTGAGATCAAAATGTAGGTGATTGGCAACCGGCCTATGCTTAACGACGGTTGCTGTGTCCAACAAGCAAAGTCAGTGGGAGAAGCTAGTTTCGCTCAATGGCCACATGATTTACTGCAAAGGCAGAAAAGCTTGCAAAATTGGGCGTGACTCATTTAACAACTTCCTTTGCTTAGCAAAGGAAAATTCTGGCCCCAGAGTTGTGGTTATAAGTTGAGAACTACCTATAGTGTTAGAGCAAGGGTCTTCCAACTTGGCAAGTGTAAGACTAGTGGACTTCAACTCCCAAAATTCCTGAACTAGCATGACTGGAGGAGGAATTCTGGGAGTTGAAGTCCACAAGCCTCAAAGCTGTCAAGTTGGAAGACCCCTGTATTAGAGGTTGGCTTAGCTTAGTTTTTCCTCCCTTCTCCACCCATCAATTTAGGTTTTGGACCTGATGTCCTCCAGATCTTTCAGGAAGTTCCAAGATGTAAAGATTTTCCAAGATGAGGACCCAGACTGTTGGGGGCAAGAGGCTGACTCTGTAAAACCGCTTAGAGTGGGCTGTAAAGCAATATATAAATCTTAAGTGCTATTTGCTATTGCCAGTTAATTTAGTATTTGAACTTCAAAATTGTATTCTTTGCTAGGTCTCTGTGTCCAGAAAGGATACGATAAAATAAGTCTTCCGGGCTTCTTACACGTAAAGTCGTTCCGCAGTAGGGAAGAACTTTGGCTCAAGCCAACCCACCCTCTTGTCTTGGCTGCTTGAAACATCTCTCTTTTCCCCCCCTGGCAGGGACTTTTGACACTTTTGTCAATATTGTGTCTGCCAGGACGGCTGTGGGGCATGACCGACAAGGACAGCTGGTGTTGTTTCACGCTGATGGGCAGTCAGGCGTCAGAGGGTACGTCCTGTGGCTTGGCGAAGCTTTTCCTACAAGGGAGATCGGAGGTCTTTCTGGAGGGGGAAAGTGTCTTCTGTGTTCCAAAGGTTGAGCCAAAGACAGAGAAGTGGGTGCCGGGTCCCGAGTTGTACCACCACACTCAGCCAAGCCATGGTTTGTTGGCTGAGTTGCCCTGGGCTGGGTTCAGGCATCGCACTAAATTGCAAATCGTGGTTTAACAATCACAGTTGGGGGGTCGGGGTGGGGGTTGCATAACCAGCTAAGACCAAAGAAATGAAATTATGGGATTGTATAGAGACGGACGGGCTAACGGTGAAAATAAAAGACAGAGAAGATTCAATTTATTATAGGGCCTGGGATGAGTGGTTTAGAAATAAAAAGAAAATAGAATGCCAATTAGGAAAAGAATGAGGGAATATGTAAATATACCATGGAGAAGATTGAGATGTAGGGATAAAAGATATTGATTTATGGTAAGAGTAAGATGTAATGGTCAAGGAATAAGTAAATGCATATACTGAAAAATGTGAGGAGATGCAAAAGATGTCTTGATGTTGATAACAATGTATAAAGTTTTATGTTTTTAAAATTTGGAAGCTTAATAAAATTTATTTTAAAAAAAAAGAAATTATGGGAGGCCCCAAATTTGAGAAATTTCTAGCCTGAGACCTCTTAGGTCAGGGGTCTCCAACTTTGCCAACTTGAAGACTTGTGGACTTCAACTCCCAGAATTCCTCAGCCAGCTTTGGAAGGAATATAGGAATCTTGATAGCTTTGAAGGCTATCCGGAGCTGTGAATGAGAACGTGGCTTGAGCGTTGGCTACCAGGACTCACATCCCCAGAAAGACCCGAATCATTATTTAATTGGGGTAGGTTTATTTTTATTTTTATTTTCGTCAGGTTCTTATAACCATCTCTGTTGCTTGCAACTGTAGCCTGAACCTCTGGGAAATGGCGGATTTCCTGAAGGAGCGCGGCGTTGTGAATGCAATCAATCTGGACGGTGGGGGATCGGCTACTTTTGTCGTCAACGGATCTCTTGCTAACTACCCTTCGGATCACTGGTGAGCATCCTCTGCTATCATTTTTCTGGGCTAGCCCCGATTTGCAGGTGTTTTGAGTTGCACATTTTTCTCTGACCAGGAACTACAGTGAGCTTCGCACCTCGTGTTAATGGCTGTACAGCGATGGTGGGCAGCCCAAGGAAACAATTTGGTTAGAAATCGTCCTTTTGACTCTTGCCCCCATTCTCTGCAAGTTCTATATATATATATATAAAAGCGAAATGCCACTCAATGCATCATCACAAAATCTCCAGAACTGTAAAACCTACAAACTTGACATTTGGCACGTATGTTCCTCTAGCTTCTAGGTGCTCACTAAGAAAGGATTTTTCTAAACGACCATCAGAGCATTAATATTTCCTATGTTATTATTAACACACTCTGATGCTAAGGAGTTCTGCTCCCTCTCCCCACCTGAAAAGAAATCTCTTCCAAAGGTAAAACACAAGCAAGAGGAGAGGAGTTTCGGTTTTAGTTTACAACACCAAGCAGCTTTAAGTACAGAACAGTTGAGCTAAGCCATGCCCAGGCTCCTTGCTGTCTCCTTGCTCACACAGCAAATACTGTTTTAGTTTCCAAACAGCCCTCAACTCTCTCACACAATGACAGGACGCTAGCCAGGTAAATACCAATGGATGCTGCTAGGCAGAGGCACAATATTTTCCCTTTATTTTCCTCCCCAAAAACCTGAGCCCAACCACATAGTTTTGTAGCGAAGCATGGGTATCAAGCTAGTAATTGAATAAAACCTCCCCATCCCAAGGCACTCTCTGGTTATTAGTGGCCCAGAGTTTGCATTGGATAGGTTGCAGGTTCAGTTGTGGCTTTGTCATCTTTTTCTGTAGTGGCTGTGGATTTTATATATATATATATATATATATATATTGTGTATGTTTCATTATTTTTAATCTTGCTAGCCACTTAGAGTTATGGATGTGAGTTAGCAACAGCACTTATATTTATATACTGCTTCAACGGCGCTTTTACAGCCCTCTCTAAGCGGTTTACAGAGTCAGCCTCTTGCCCCCAATAATCTGGCCCCTCATTTTACCCACCTTGGAAGGATGGAAGGCTGAGTCAACCTTGAGCTGGGTGCGATCAAACTGCTGGCAGTCCACAGAATTAGCCTGCGGTGCTGCATTCTAGTCACTGAGCCACCACGTCTCCTGAGTTAGGTGGCAGTATAAATTAAATAAATACATTACCAACACCTGCCAGGCTGAGCTTGAAGAGAAGGGGATGCGGCTGTGTTTTTAATTCCATCTGTCCCAAAGTGGCTTTTTCAAGGGGCAACTGGACTTCCTGGTTTTTCTTCCAAAAAAAAAAAAAGAAAGAAAAAAGTCCACTTGCCTGTTGGAAAAGCACTTTTAGGACCACCATGACCCGGATGACGGAGAATCTCCATAGGTAAATTCCATCCACCTTTCTCTCTCTCTCCTTTCTTCCCAGCGTACTTGACCCCACCTGGCGCTGCCCCCGGAGCATTTCGACCGTCTTGTGCGTGCACGAGCCTGCCTGCCAGCCTCAAAACTGCAGCGGACACGGGCACTGCATGCTTGGGCGATGCCACTGCCACGGAGCCTTCTGGAGCGGGCCGGCCTGCGATGTGCTGGACTGTGGCCCTTCCAACTGCACTCTTCACGGAATGTGCACGGACGGTAAGGGCCCGTCTTTGGAAGGACGCAGGTGCAAATGGGTCTCCCTTTGGGGCTGGGGGCGAGGAGTGCCCGATGTTTAAAGGGGCCCTTTGGTCGTTGCGTATTGGCACCCCTTTCTCAGCCGGTCTTCTGAAAGCTCTCAGATTTGCACACAAACCACCATACAACAGCAGAAAATAGTTTTCAAGGTGTTTCATGTCCAAGCCACAAACTTCCCATCCGGCAAAAATGGCATACAATCCGGTCTAGGTTAGCACTGGAAGCTTCTGCCTTCCAATGCTATTTAAAGGTATAAACACACCCACCTAAATGCTCCTATCTCCTGTGCTCGCCCCTAATTAGCCCCTTAATTACCCTTTAGGCCATCATCCGGTTATACATCATATGTTCATTGTTTCCTATCTTTGCAATCTCTCGTCCCCATCGACCCTCCCACTGCGCCGATGATGCGTCGGACGCAGCTAAACAGTCCCGGAAGTATATAGTGTCAACGCTTCAGCGGCCCCTGCGAACGTGCTGACGGGCTCAGTTTATCTATCAGCACTAACGGAGCCCGACAGCCTTGATTTTTGAGGCTGGGCGCAGAACTCCAAGCTCTGGAAAATGATGCTGCAGATAACAGGGAACCTGGTTCCAACCCTGCCCCTGTATCCCTTCCCGTTCTCTGCTCTTACTGCATAAAGTTCACGTTGTCTTCTCTGTCCTTTCCTTTATCGTAGTGGGATGTATCTGTGATGCCGGTTGGACTGGTGAAAACTGCACCCAAGGTAACCCTCTTTCTCACTTAACCATCCCGGTGTTGGGTTGTTTTTGCTGGGGAGGCTGCTCTATATAAATGGAGACCAAACCTCACTCCCATCTTGCACAGATGGTGTTACCTAGTTGGGTCATGAAATGTCTGCCAGAAACCAAGATCTCCACAGTTCAACCCCCGAGTGACAGAATTTCTCTTCTATTGGACAAGAGAAAAATGTCAAGCAAAATGCCAGCCTTAAGCATCACCCCAAATTCTTTCCAAATCCTGGGGGGGTTAAGGAAGCATCTTGTCACTAATGAGTACCATCAATTCTGCTGCCTCCTGGCTTCCCACCCACAATCCTCACCATGCTTTCCCTTCTTTCTAGCTTGCACCCATGGTTCCTATGGGGACAGCTGTGCTCAGAAATGCCTGTGCCGCAACGACGGCAAATGTGACCCTGTGCACGGATCCTGCACTTGCCCCGCGGGCTTCCAAGGAATCTTCTGTGAAGAAGGTGCGGGATTTGGAGCTGGTTCTTTCAAAGGGATAATAAAGTTATTCAAAATATCTCTCTCTCTCTCTCTCTCTCTCTCCCTCCCTCCCTCCCTCCCTCCCTCCCTCTCTCTCTCTCTCTCTCTCCATCCAACCTACCTATCTATCCACCCATCCATATCTATCCATCTATCCATTCATCTATATATCTATCATATCTGTCCACCCAGGCACGCAACCATCCATCCATCTATTGTATCTATCCACCCACCCACCCATCCATCCATCCATCCATCCATCCATCCATCCATCCATCCATCCATCCACCCACCCATCCATCCATCCATCCATCCATCCACCCACCCATCCATCCATCGATTTTACTTAGAGCTGCAGCGATGCAGTGGTTAGAGTGCAGTATTGCAGGTTGACTCTGCCCGTAGCCTGCAGTTCGAATCTCACCAGGCTCAAGGTTGATTCAGCCTTCCCTCCTTCTGAGGCGGGTAAAATAAGGACCTGGGTTGTTGGGGGGCAAGAGGATGACTCTTGTAAACCACTCAGGGAGGCCTGTAAAGCCTTACGGAGTGGTATATAAATCTAACCGCTGTTGCTATTCTCATCCAAGAAGCTTCTTCAGAACTGTTTGAAAGATCCTCTGAAGACCTGGTTCTGCCAGTTGGCCTGGGTGAGGGGAATTCCACGTTGGAGGTGGCTGCTGGCTTATTGGCAATTCCACCTCCCCACTCCACTTGCTCTCTGCTCTCCACCTGTCCATCTTCTTTGCTTTATCCTACTGATGTATCCTAGTCATGTTCCTTTTAATTGCTTCTTTTACGGGGTTCTATTATTTTACTTCCGTTCTGCTTACGCTCCTTCCCTTTTTCCTCCTTTTTATTATTGTAAGCCTTCCAGGAACCCCCACGGCATGAGATAGGCAGCAAATAAATTTAGCAAATCAAATTAAAATTAAAAATGCCTCGCCTATAAAAAGCAAGCAGCTGTGGGAAGGGAGGAGGTCATGTCAGCTTCAGAGACGCTAGATTTAAACATGCCTTTTTTTTAAAAAAAAATGGTTAGAAGTGGATAGAAAAGCTGTTTCTGGGTAGAAAAGTATATAGCAAAAAGCAGGAAGAGGGTTTGGTGTTGGTGTGATGACCCGGTGTGTAACACAAACAGCACAAAATCCAAAATGTAAATAAATGTCATTTAATGCCTCCAACTTGGCCCCACTGTTCAATAATTCTCAGTTGGAGATTAAATTTATTCAAAAATAGTCTTCAAAAGAAAGCAATACAGTCAGAACTCAATGACCTTAAGATAAAGGTGGAATAAAATCCCAAACAAACTACAATGAAGGAATTTCCACAACAGACCAGGATAAGTAATTAGCAACTTCAAGGAGATAACAAGGCTCAGTTTGTTGGAAGGACACCAACCAAGATAACTTCAGCCCAAAATAAAACACGCTTTGCTTCTGGCAACGCTGTGTTTTAACCATCTCTCTTATACACTATTCTCCCCAATGAGGGGGATCATGGCCGCTTCCTCTCTCGTAAGCCAAGTTGTTTCCTTCTCCCTGCATGTCCTAGGATGAAGAGGGGATGGGCCTGGTTCTTCCTCTGACTGCCTCTGCCCTTCCCTAGCCTCCTCCACAACCTCCAGAGCCACACCTCCACTCCCTGCCAGCTGTTCCTCCTCTCCCTCTACCAAGGGCATGACAGTTTGTGAGGATGGCATCTTAAGGCAGGCTTGGCATGACTTCCAACTCTTTTATCCTTCTTCCTTGCTGACTTATTAGGATGTAACATCTGTTCCTTCATTGTTTTGCAGCCTGCCCTCTCGGACGATACGGACCTAACTGCCAGCATTCCTGTCAGTGCCCAAACCAGTGTTACTGTGATCAGAGGACGGGCAGCTGCAATATTTCTCTAGACTCAGCCGTCCTGGATAAATTATCTAGAGGTACATGCTTTGGGGAGTCCAGATTGTAGAGAGAGTCCTTAGAAAAACTGAATCATTTTGAGGGTCTATCTCGTTTTTGGTCTCTCCAGATCAAGGGGTGTCTTGGTTTGCAAAGCCCAGAATGCAATTTTCTCTGGTTCTCTTGGAGGGCTGTTGCCAATCTAGGATTAGCCAAGTTATGATTTGGATGCAGAGTTAATAGAACGGTCTTTAGGATCACGAAGGCAAATTCACTTGAATATGTTAAGGAAACTGTCCTAGCATTAAGAGCAGGAAGTCCTTGACTTATAATTGTTCATTTAGTGACCATTTAGTTACGATCACAAAAAGCAGCTTAGAACCAGTCTTCGCCTATCAGAAGTAGGCCTTGATTTAGAACTGTTCATTTAGTGTCTGTGTGAAGTTACAACAGCACTGAAAAAAGGACTTGTGACGGGTCCTCATGCCTACAACCATTGCGGCATTCCCCACAGTCACATTTGCGACCTTCCCAGTTGATTTCTGATAAGGTCAATGGCTGAAGCCAGATTCGCTTAGCACTTCACTATTGCAGTGATTCTAAAAAAATCAGATTTTTTAGGCCAAAGCATTTTGAAAGAATACAATAAATTTTGTAAATAAAAAATGGTGACAGTTCGCAAAGATTACTAGGTGCAAATAGAAATACATACTATTTCCATAACAAGGAAGATAAAGCGGGAATGGTTAAATAGATTATTTTATTTAAAGAGGAAAATATGTTCTTATAACTCTGATTTTGGTTCTGTTGATTAGTTTTAGTTTACTTTATTGTCATTGCACATCGTACAACTAAATTAAATACCATCTTCAGTGTACTACACAGTAGAATTCAATAGAGTTCCTGCTCTGGGATAAAAGCTGTTTTTCAGCCTATTTGTCCTTGTTTTTATTATCCTGTACCGTCTGCCAGATGGTAATAGTTCCAAAAAAAAAAAAAAAGGTGTCCAGGATGAGATGGATCTTTAGAAAGAAAGATTTGGTGTGAAATGGCTAGTTATGTATTGGTTATGTATTCTAGTTGTGCTAGAAATGGCTAGTTATGTATTAATGTGTAAAAGCAAAAAAATGGAAGTTGGAGTGTGTTTATCTTGTACTGTGCTAGGAAGAGTTGGAAGTCAGTGCCCCCTTTTCTTTCTTTTTCTCTTCCCCCTTGTATTTCACACCCCCTTCTTCCCCATCCCCTTTCCCTCCCTTAATTTCCTATTTTCTTTTGTATTTTATATAATAACATTTAAAAAAAACCACTTGCAGTGATCCACTTAGCAAAACCATGGGTGAAAATATTGTAAAATCGGGTGTGATTCCCCCTAACACCTGTCCTTGCGTAGCGATAGAATTTCAGCTCCCAATTGTGATCGTACATCAAGGAATCCCTTGTAAACGGAGCCCTAACGGATCACTTTTGCACCAAACAAATGTGTTCACGCCAAAGGCTGGGCAGGTGATCGATTTAGATTCCCGCACAGAAAGACAGCTTCATTTGTCCTCCAGATCAATATTCTTTTGTGGCTCGGATCGGAAGCAGGAAGTAGCATCTCTCTTCTCACTTCCCCTGGTTTCTTTTTTGCTTTTTTCCTTTTTAGTTGGGCTGTGCCTGCTACAAGCTACCTCAAGGGAAGAGTTCCTTTTCTCCAAGTAAGTTTCACGGCTTTTTGCTCGCTGATAAAATTTCCTCGCACGTCCTTGCTGGTTTTTCCTGCCTCCCGCGGAAGACCGGGTGGAGGGAAATAACAGCTCGAAAGAAGCTGTTATCCTTTTTGGAGCTTGGTGGGCTACAAACTTTAAGGCTCCCTCTGACCTCGTTCGTGAACCATGGCTTGTTCTTTGTAGGAGAGCCTGGGTCGCAATCAGCCTGGGTTTGCTTGTCCTGCTTTCGCTCAGCGTGCTGGTGAACGTCAGACTGGCTCTCCGCAGCACCAACAAGCGACACGAACACGGTCAGTACATCTCGGTCCCCCTGGAAGAGATCAACGGTGGGACCAAAGAGCGGATTCTGCCAGCAGCTTGGGAGGAGGACGATCCCACCGAGGCTGCCTGGGACACGAATCTGACAGAAAGCGTTCATCTGCTGTGATCGTGAGAGGTTCTCTTCCCTGGAGCAGAATCCTCACCGTTCTTCAGTGTAGTTTTTGCTCCATCGGTTGCCATTTTTCCTCGTTGCCTTAACTGGAACCAGCGGCCTTGGAGAGGGGTCTGGAATTCTTTGGGTTTCCAAAGAGGGAAGCTTCCATATTTGGTTGGAAATACTTTCTCCCGCCAAGTTTTGGAGAGAAGGTGAGTGAATGTCAGTCACCAGAGGTGGTCATCTCCCGAATGCTTCAACTGAACTGCACAGCGGCGTCTTTCGCTTGAAGCGCTGAAGAAGATTTGATGATTTGGGAGACGGGAACGGTGGCGGGATTCAATTTTTTTTTTACTACCAGTTCTGTGGGCGTGGCTTGGTGGGCCTGGCAGGGCTTGGTGGGCGTGGCAGAGGAAGGATACTGCAAAATCCCCATTCCTCTTGCCTTGCAATATTCAGAAGCCTCATCCCCAAAATGTTCACAGGTAGTCCTTGGTTTGCAACCGTTCCATTTAGTGACCGTTAGAAGGCACTGAAAAAAAAAATCACGGGATCCAAATCCAAGTCACTTTGTCAACTGGCATGTATTTAGGACACGTACATTATTTCTGGGTCAAAATTGATCACCACTTGCCATCTTCTCAGCTGACAAGCAAAATCAAGTAGGGGAAAGTGCTTAAGATTCGCTTAACAACTATATGTGTCATTTAACAACGGTAGCGATTTGCTTAACAGGCAAAAAAAAGTAGAATGAAGCAAAACTCATTTAATTGCCACGCCTAGCAATAGAAATTTGGGGCTAAATTGTGGTCGTAAGTCAAGGAGTACCTGTTGTATATATTTGTCCCCCACTATAGACACCTGCTTGTCCTTGTCACATCCCTGGGGTGTGGGGGCAGGATGGAAGGGAACTTGGACATCTGGACATCTCTGGACCACAACTTCCATCATCTCACTGGCTGGCTTGGCCACAGAAAACTAGCCAGGTTTGGAGATGCTGCTGTAGCTCTAAACCAGGGGCCTTCAAACTTGACAGCTTTAAGACTTGTGGACTTCAACTCCCAGAATTCCTCCTCCAGTCATGTTAGCTAAGGAATTCTGGGAGTTGAAGTCCACAAGTCTTAAAACTTGCCAAGTTTGAAGACCCTTACTCTAAGGATGAGAAACCTCGGCAATTTGAAGATGTGCGGACTTCAACTCCCAGAATTCCCCAGGCTGGCTGGGAAAAAAAAAAAAAGCAGAGTTATAGTGCTCCATCCCTGGAGGTTTTCAAAAATAAGGCCAGACAACCATTTAACAAAGATGGTACGAGGTCTCTCTGCTTTGGGCAGAGGGGTTGGACTAGATGATCTCCGAGGTCCTTTCCAAATCTATGATTCTATGTTTATGTCTTACATAGAGGAGCCTTTGAATGATAGGATGTGGCTCATGACTGTGTAATTTATATGCTTGTTAAGGGACTGTGAGTTGCCTTTTTTTCTTCCTCTTCTTTTGGAATTAACAATTTGGAACCAAAAAAACGGCTTTTCCGGACGATTTAGCATACCCTTCAACGTAAGCTTCTATCGATCCAGGTCTTGTCAGTTGAAATAAAGAATGATATTTCTTTAGCCCAGTGTTTCTCAACTTTAAGCGCTGTGGACTTCAACTTTAAACTGTTCATGACTGTGGCTACAGAATTCTAGGAGTTGAAATCCATGTATCTTAAAACAGTAGCTCGATCCCCGTGCTTCGCTACGAAACTATGGGGCCTGGCTTAGTTTTGGGAGAGGAAAATAAGGAGAAAAAAAATCTGCCTCTACCTACCAGCATCCATCGCTATTCATCTGGCTAGCGTCCTGTCAGTGTGTGAGAGTTGAGGGCTGTGTGGAAACTGAAACAGTATTTGCTGTGTGAGCCAGGAAACAGCAAGGAGCCTAGGCCGTGGCTTAGCTCAACTGTTTGGTACTAAAACTGCTTGGTGCTGTGAAGCTGAAGCCAAAACTCCTCTCCTCTGCTTGTGTTTTGCACTTGGAAGAGTTTTCTTTTCAGGTAGGGAAAAATCTTTTCTTAATGAGCATCTAGAAGCCAAGAGGAACATAAAGTGCCAAATTTCAAATTTGTAGGCTTTACGGTTCTGGAGATTTTGTGATGATGTGTGAGTGGGATTTCACTTTTATATATATAGATTGCCAAGGTTGAGAAACAATGCTTTAATGCATAATTCTGAACATGTAGCCAACACGGGGCATAAAAATGATCTGCGCTTGTATATGTTAGATATTTGTGGATCCATTTTTATTCAGCGGGTTTGCACTAATATTTTGGAATTTATCTGCCAAGCTTTTAAAATTGCATTTTTTTTCCCTTTCCAAAGTGACTTATTTGATGTCAAAATACTTGATTGTATGTTTTACTCTCTCTTGCTGATTCAAAAAAATACATTGTCTTTTTATATTTTTTTCAATGTATAGAAGAAAATAACCAGTGGAAAAGGTTTCTTTGGTGAGATTTGTGATGCTGGATACTATAGTTTAACAAGCCAGGATTCCTAGGTTAAAAAACAAGTAATGCCACTAATTTTATTCTGCAGGCTAGAATAACAGGAAATATAGAAAAGGGGTTTACTAGATTGCTAATCTTTTTTATCAGAGATTTTTGAGGGACTTATGCTAATCTCTTAAAAAGTGTTTTTTAAGTAATATATTTGAAAAGATGAACATTTTCTTAGAATAGCAATGGGAGTATCTTTTAATAATATATTTTGAAGCAAAACATTAATTCTTTCTGAGCCAGCTTTTTTAATGCACTTTGATCTGTATTTCCCTTTTGTATTTATGGAACCCTAAAGTGGAAGTTTGAAAAGTAAGAGTATTTAAAGTCCCTTCTAGAAAATAAAGCCTCGAGGAGAGTTTGCTTTGTGATTTATGTGGGAATAAACTTTTTACACAAATAAATTCGTATTCTGCTTGCTTCACTCTTTGCTTCATTGTGGTTTGGTGGGCCAAACGGGGAAAAAATGGGGCACTTTCTACTTTAAATAAAAAGGAAGATTCCCCCACCATCCAGTCAGAAGCTGAAGAAGCTTCTTGGAGGAGAACCGAAACGTCTTCAAGGAAAACCAAAAAAGTCCAGTTGCCTCTTGAAAAAAGCATGGGAAGAGGAAATTTCTCATAGGTCTACATGACTGACTGACATTGGCTATAGCAACTTCCTTCAATGACGAATCAAATTCAAAATAGATCCAGCCGGTTTCTTGCAACCCTGACTGAAGTGGCAGCCAAAAAAAACTGCCTTGCAGAGTAAAGTTAGTTTTCAGCTTTGACTTTTTTTGAGTTTTGCTTCCAGCAAGAGGATTGAACTGGATTGTTTTTAGACTGCTGCAGAAATGGAAGAGCAGCTCTTTTCTGTGTTTGATAACCCAGCAAGGCTCTGAGCCACAGTGACGCAACCACAAGGCTTAAGAGTCTGGGCATTCCCAAACAACTTCCAGCCCTTTGGGGAAAAAAAATGGACGCAAGATGCAGAAAGCTTGCAACCTCACTCAGATCCTGATTCCTGCCTGCCTTTGTCAGCTGTACATAAAAGGCCTTCTGAGCAAAACCGTTTCTGAACAAAACAGAAGCATTTAATGAGAATTAGCATTAGCAGATATGGGGAGCAGGTTAGGAAGCAGCCTGCAGGATGGAGGTAGAGAAATCTGAATTGGCCTTCATCACTTCCATCTTTCTTTCTTTAATCCATATCTTTAGAGAAGGGGGGGGGGGGGAAACTAAGGAATATTGATCGGCTGTTTCCAGAATAAAGGAACTGTGAAGGAAAAATAATAATAAACTGTCAAAAAAATAAATTTAAAAAAAAGCTATCAAAAAAAAAGTCTGCTACTAAGATTGTTGGCCAAGCAGGCACAAAAACAGCCAGGGAAGTGATTGAAGCCTGGGAAACGGGCTCCTGTCAATCAAAAGGAATGCTGATTTACCCCAGCTTATTAAGTACCTAGGAGGTGAGGGCTTGGCAGCATAAGGGAACAACAGCCAACGACTTAATAGGCAGCCATCAATACCCACTCTACATCTAAAAAGCCACACACTATAAGCTCAGAAGACAAAAATTTTGACTGACCCAGTTTGGATGCTGTCCAAAAACCCAAGGTGATGATGGGTGTGACAGTGGAATCTAATCTTTATCTATTTTTATATTTGCCATCCATTAAAAATGGGTGAAACTTTGATCACATCTTTCTGACGGCCAGAAATCTTGATTTTTCCAACTCTGCCCTGTAGACATCTCTGGGGTTGGTGATACAGTGGTTTTGGGGGTGAGGTTGTATGAAAGAGCATTTTGCTGAATTGTCTTAACTTCTGGAACAAGAGGAAGCGGCAGAGGTTGAACACATAAAACTATTCGTTTATTTGAAATTTTAAAAAATGTAAACAAGTCCAATTCTTTTTTTTTTCCGTTATAAATTACAAACAAAAACAAGTGCAATGTGAATGTTGTTTCTTCTGTTGTTAAGAGGCCGAGGTTAAGAAAGGATAGAAATACCTGTTGAACTGCTGGTATCAGATCACACTACCTGAGGAACAAACTTGTGTTTTATGCATTCTAAAAACAAAACTCATTATCTTTATAAATTCTGAGTATCAAATGAGCCTGGAAAGGTCCTGATCTTTAAAATACATTCTTTAAAAGGTAAGCCTGTACTTTTAAAGCGTACTCAGCAGTGTTTCTTTGTTTTGTTTTAAAATTGCTTTTTGTGATTCTGTTAGTGAGAAAACCGGAGGCATTCCTTCTCAGCGAAATGTTCACTTGAAAGTGTAACCAGCAACTACAAAACTATAAAATCAAAACGGAGTTTCTGGGAGAGGAGGATGATGATGATTTTTTAAAAAGTTACTTTCGTTGTAGAAAAATATGTAGAGAAATATACATATATACATTTGACAATGCTAATAAAAAGATAGGGAACAAAACCAACTGCAATACAACAGACCTTCTCTGGGCCAGACCCTTTAGCTGAGGTTGGCATATTACTTAAAATTCACACATTCTTGTACGGGACATCGCAGGTATGGAAATCGGTTATTAAAATCAGCGGTTTGGCCCAAAATCACCCCACTTTTAAGAAGGCGCCTGGAGAGATGCCACCTGCCAATCTCAGAGGTGATAAGGAGCTCTCTTGCAACTGATGTATCTGCCAACTGTGTTGGGTCAGAGAGCCAGTGAGAATCAGCCATCTCCCATAACATCCGACCAAGACTTTTTGGCTCATGTTTCAGACAGGCCTGATCAAGCTACTTTGCTGAGCTAAAGAAAAAAGAAAAAAAGAATGAGACAAACTTGAGTTTTCTG